ACCGATTTGGCAAGCAATTTCGTAACGTGCCATCGCTAAGGACCTGCCTTTTGTATGGCTTTTAATAATAGCAGTTGGTATTGCATCGTCCTCGTGACGAGGACGACAACGAAGAAGAAAAAGTAATTCAGCAGGAGATTTATTCATTCATTCAATGTTACTGTTGCCCGGGTGTGGGCTGATGGTTCGCATTCAAACTGGTTCCTCTTCATTGCATTTAAAAAAAAAAAAACGACAAAACCCAGAAGAAATGCTCTCGAAGTTAGGGATGTTGCCCATGTTTGTCATTACTGGATAATGTGATGGAATGTTGTCATCGCCATCATCGTCGTCAGGGCGCTAGCTGGAAGGTGAGAGTATTTTGTTCGTAATTATTTACATAGAACAAGAAGTGTTAAATGATAAGATACCAATTATAACCGAGCAAATAGACGACGATAATAATGAACACGACGAAGTAGGAAACAATCATGGAAAAGTGTGTGTGTGTGTGTATATACTTAACTTTTTGGAATCCATGCAAGAGTGATTGTTAACAGATACTCCCTAAAAAAAGGGAGCTCAGTGAGTCATGACGTTGTCCATAAACAACCAATTTGGCGTCAGCCGTTCCAGTTAAATTGACAAATGATTTTCGACATTCGGAAAAGCGATCTTAGTATAAAATTTCTTAAGACACCAAAACTAAATAAATATAAATTTTTTCAAACAGAAAACAAGTTTTAATTTCAAATAGTCGAATAAACATTTAAAATGTAATAAAGATTACAAAAAATCTAACCCCATGATCAATTGGCTTTCGTTTAATTAAGGAAAGAGAGGCGTTTATTGTTTATGAACTCGGAAAATATGTCACTCTCGCAAAAAGGAGTGATTAATGTTATAGTGCGTTTAGATCAGGGCATGGCAGAGAGCTTCAAAATTTTTTTGTGATTGTATGTGTTTTGAAATAACAAAATATTTCAAGTGTTTTTTTACCTCTCTTTACAGAGTGAGAAAAAATTGGTGATCTTTAAATTTTCAATTTAAAATTTTCTGTTTTCAAAACAACTTCGTTGGTAAAAAATTAATATTTTGACAGACTATTCGGAGATATATTTGTAGAATTATTTCAATTCTGATTCATTTTAAAATTAAAAAATATATAAGTTGACATTTTCAGAAATTTTATATAATTTTGATGTTATTTTTTCTTAATAATTTCGGACATAACATGCTAACCATCTATGTTGACCCTTTAAAAATCCGATTCCGATTTCCACAGGCTGGCATACGCAAATAGTCGTAGAATTTTTTCTGATCAGAAACTCATATCCTGCGTTGGGTTCTAAAAGATTATTTCCATGAATTACAAATAGAATGATAAACATCGCATCTTGCTATTTTTCCTAAAATTGACTAAGAACGTACAAATAATTTTAGAGAAATCAAGGGATATGAAAATGTCCACTAATTTGGAAGGACAATAAATTTATCTGACAATATGAAATGAATTTTTGTTCCTAACATGTGAATTCGTATGCAAATTTTGTCAAAAAGACTTCAATCAGAAAAGATATATGTCAAAAGTTGTAATTTTTACAATTTCGGAAATATGTGTTTGAAATATGTAGTAAGATATATTTATATGTTCCAATATTTCTTACGGTGTATTCATAAAAATATCCGACAGCACCTTCCTCATCGACTGCTCGAACAAAACTAAATATTCTCTCAAAACCAATTTGACAGAAAATTCAAAACAATTTATTTTTCACAATTGTGTTGGTGAACACACAGATATCCCAAGGGATACTCTTTGCCTAGCCTTGGTTTAGATCATGGTAGAAGAATACAAGTAGTCGCATCGACTCAGCTGCTGGGACAATGAACTGTCAAACCAATTTTGGAATTGAAAATGTTGAATGCAAAATTATTTAAATTTGCAAAAATTGTTGAAAAAGACATATCATTACAACTTCCGATCTACGTCGTATAAGAAAACACATACAAATCGACTTATTTTTGACAAAACACTTTAAAAATGTTGACATATCAATGCTCCCAAGCGTTGATGCATCTACCTATATTTTTCTGCCATGCAGATTGATTAATGTTATAGTACGTTTACATCATGGTAGAAGAATACTGGTAGTCGCATCGAGAGACAATAAGCTGTCAAATTAAATTAGAAATTTAAAATTTTAAATGAAAAATTCAAATTCCTAAAAATTTTTGAAAAATAAATGTCATAACAATCTCCGATTGGCGTCGTATGAGAAAACATATGAAAATCTACTTATTTTTGAAAAAAAAAAAAAAAAAACATTTCAGGGCCTTTGACAAATCAATATTGCCAAGCGTTGATGCATTTACCCGTGGTAGAATTAAGAAGGTAAGGTAAGGAGGGTGAGAAGAAAAAACTGCAACCAACTTCAGACTGCTGTCATTCCTAAACCACTCGTCCGACAGCTATTAAAATTATTCCAGTGACAGCTCATTATATTGTTTACAAGCGTACAAAAGCAAATTGGTGAGAATTTTCCAGAAAAAAAGTCATTCGTGATTGAATTCAAGCGTGATAGCGTGATTTCTTTATATTTGGCTGGAAAACCAACCTCAGGTGGCTATCGTTAGAGCACTCCAGCATTTAAATGTAAATAAGTCTTTTGTTTCTCGTACCATCGCTCGTTACCGTGATACTCGTAGCGTAGCCCGGCATCAAGAAAGTGGACGGAAGAAAACAGCAACATCAGCAAAAATGGTTCGAAAAGTAAAGAAGCGACTTGATCGAAACCCGCATCGCAGTGGCCGAAAAATGAGCTCGGGGTAAAGCCATTGAAATTCCAAAAAGTGCAAAAACTTACACCGCAACCGAAAGAAAATAGACTCAAAAGAGCTACAGAGTTGCATCGCTTGGCCGAAAGTGGTGAACTGCCGAATTTGCTCTTCTCCGATGAGAAAACTTTCGTTGTCCAGCAGCAGTTTGTAAACAAACAAAATGAACCACTCGTGTTTACTTGCCAAAGAGGTCAGCTGAAAATGTGCACCTTCGATTGGCCACCAGAACTCAAGCGTCGGCCATGGTGATGGTGTTGTGGCCGCCATAACAGCCGATGGTCGCTCTCCGTTCGCAATTATCGACCGTGACGTCAGAATAAATCCCGAATATTGTCACGAAAATATTCTGGAGGGTGTATTAAAGCTTTCGGGCACGCAAACATTTAGGCCGCAGACCTTGGACATTCCAACAGGACTCAGCACCATCGCCCTCCGCACGCAACACCCAAGAATGCTTATAAAATGAGGTTCTTCGCTTCATTTTCAGTGCACAATGGCCACCAAAATCTCTAGACACCAATCCGTTGAACTATTGTGTCTGGAGTATTTTGGAAAGCAAGGTTGGCACTAAAAATACCAAAGTGTCGATCACCTAAAGCAAGCGCTTCGCCTGGAATGGTCCAAAATACCGCAAAGCAACATTTGGATAACGTGTGACGGTTTGATTGGCCGTTTGAAGGCCATGATTCGTGCCAAAGGTGACCAATTCGAACAAATCTAAACATGTTCTAAAATTTGATGCTATTTCCAAAATTGTTTGCTTTCATTCAATAAAATTTAAAAGAAAAGTGAAAATTATAGTTATCTTCCAGAACCTGAAAATTAGTACTAATTAGCACTAATTCTGCTACAACGCGTTCCCGTACTCCAAAAACTAGCAAAACTTGCAGCTCTCTCGAGAAAAAAATGGCGCTGAGTGGTGCACATTTCTGCTTGTTTTAGCTACATGAATTTGGCCGAGCAGAAATGTGCATATTGTAAATTTGACATTTAATTGGCAGGGCTAACAAGGTTGAAAAATGTATTGATACATTTCAATAAAGAAAATGATCAACTTGAAAACTAAAGGAAAAACTAATATTTGTCGTGCAAAAAACAAAAAGAGAAAATATGGAGCAACTGATGTATTCACTTTTGGATGATTCCAGCAGTGAAGAGGACTGGCTGAATGAGGAATCAGATTTTTAATTATTATTATAAATTATTAATTTTAATACTCATTTTTTAAATGTTGGCGCTCTTTTCAGTAAGGTTTCACCAGTCCGATTTAGGCTGTTTACTTTGGGAATTTTGAATTTTGACATTTTATCGCATTTCTGCTAATTTTCCGTTCCCTTATTTTTTGAGCAAACCTAAATGAGAATGACATTTCGAACTGTTCTCTCTTCTGCTAGTTTTACTACTAAAAAAGTACTGGAACACAACTTATGTCGTTTGACTTTGTTGCAGTTTTTTATCTCAACCTGTATTTCTCTCCTTGCGGGATATGAATATGCCAACAAGTCGATGGACACACTATCCACCTGGCTTAAGATATTAATGATGAAAGCTGATCAAAGCTTAAACCGTGACTTCGGCATGTCAGCTACAAGTTGTATTTTTACGTCGCATTCATGGTAGAAGAATATAGGTAGACGCGTCGACACAGCTGCTGGGACAATGAACTGTCAAATCAATTTTGGAATTGAAAATGTTGAATGAAAAATTATTTAAATTTGTGAAAAATGTTGAAAAACGCGAATTATAATAGCCTCCGAATGACGTAGTATAAGAAACATATAAAAATCTACTTATATTTGAAAAACATTAATTTTTTTGACATATCAATGCTCCTAAGCGTTGATGCATCTACCTGTATTCTTTTGACATGGTCGCATTCACTTTTGTATTTATTCAACCAGGTTTTTCTTAAAAAGTAGGTCTTTTCATGCCTAGATTTATTTTCGATTTGCTAGTCTAACTGAACTGTATTACCCAATTCTAAACTTTTAATTTCTTTCAGCTTCGGGAAGAATGCCATTCTCAAAATACATTACACAGGTGTGTGTAAACACGACACTACGACCGGCTTGCTCGGTACCTGAATTTGTTCCTATTTCTCATTCGTAAACACTTGATTATGCTTTCTCCCCTCATTCGTAAACAATAGACATGTCGGTCATTCTGTTTTGAATATACTTTTTATCAACCACTTTCTTTTGCCAAACCATTCGTGTCGTTTGGAACGTTTTTTAATTTGTTCGGTTCACGGGTGGTAAAAACATTGGTTGGCCAGAGTACATCCATCCATGTTCGTTCCATGGCTTTTTGTGTTTAAAGAATTCACAGCGTAAGTTTATTAATAATTAATAATTTTCTTTAATATTATTAACAAATTATTGCCTTTCTCATTTGTATTTCCATTTCCAAACAAAGTGGATTTTCAAAAAACAACAAATCATTCACCCCAACTAATTGAATTAGGCTGCTGACACCATCATATTTTTATTCCCCCGCAATAGAGTGCAGCCGCTGATAATGGTTTGTTGAAGTCTGAAGAAAAATCGAAAAGGAGAAAGCGGAATGTAATCCATAAATGGCCTAAATTATTACTTACAGCTGCAAAATCTTTTTGTTTTAATTTATTTTGCTTATCAAAATGCCTATTCGTTATGTGTACAGGTAAGTGGGCCACAAATCACCCAAAAGACTAATTAATTAAAATACATTTTACTCTCTTTTGCCACAGATGGATTACAAGGACTTTTCTGCTTCTTACTCTTTTGTTGTGTTGCTACAATGAAATACTTGTGTATCATTTTAATCGATCCTCTTGGCAGGAAATCAATTGTCGTTTCGGTAAGTTGGTCAAGTAGCCCCTGGGAGAGCGTTGACATTTTCTAAACGAGGTGTGTGTGTTTTTTTTTTCTTACAGAAAATTGCACGAGAATGCTGTTGATTGCTGACCCCCAACTCTTAGGTTTAACATATGAAAAGACAATACTTAGCGGCCTGGCACGTTATGACTCGGACAGGTTTGTGGGTGATTAACAAATGGATGAATAGAAAAAGTAATTCTCTTCTTTTTTAGGTATTTAAAAAGTACCTTCCAGCAAGCCCTCAAATTTACCCAGCCTCACATTATCTGCTTCCTTGGGGATTTACTGGACGAGGGAAATGTGGCCTCTCCCCAAGAATTTCAAAGCTACATTCAACGTTTTCGCAATATTTACCAAACCGAAAAAGAAATAAAAGTATGTATAAAAGATCAGGGACAACATACTTACCAATATTTTTCAAGTTTCAAATGATTTCTGCATTTCACCAGGTTGTCCATGTACCCGGCGACAATGATATTGGCGGGGAAAATGGTGAATTTATATCGAATTTAAATATACATCGTTTCGAAGAGGCTTTTACCCAACGTGATATATTCGATTATGAATCGAATTTACGCTTTTTCAAAATCAATCGTATGATGTTAGATTTTACAAATCCCGATAAGACACACAATCATCAAAAACTACGTATCGGCTTGTCACATGCCCCCATACTCATTGGAGGTGGACCCTTATTACGCTCGGTTATTAATGAGCTGGATCCACACATAATATTCTCTGGGCATTGGCATGAATCTCGAATATTTCTATATCCCTCAACAAAGGTGATTAATTTTTATGACAAGGCGGTGAAAAGTTTCAATTTGAAAGACTTGAAGGAAAAACAACATAACTACTTGGAAATAATGGTGCCTACATCTTCCTATAGAATGGGAAAAGTTAATATTGGAATAGGTTATGCAGTTTTGGGTAAGGCAAATTATTCTCATGCCCATGTTGTGGTAAATTGTAACTTATCTTCTTTTTAGATAATTATGATCTCCGTTATACTGTCCTTTGGTTGCCAAATCGCTTCGTGTACTTATTTATTTATGTATTTTGGCTATTATTTGCAATATGTATGTCTCTTGTCTTTCGCATGATGACCCGTTGCCCGTTTCGTAAGATCTCGAAGTTCAATCAATCTCAGTACCAACGCATTTCAGATGCAATACCTGATTAAAGCTCCCAATATAATGACAACAATTCAATTCTATTATTTGAAAAAAAAAACTACATACATACATATATATTTATTACTAACTTATTTATTTTAATGATTAACAAAAATAAAGTCTAGTCTGGATATGTTATTTTATATTAGAACATATTGTCACATATATAAAATATGTTTTCGAAGGATTTATCGTTGATAAAAAAACACAAGTTTTTAAGGAAAAAAAGGAAATTATGGTCCTTCGTCGTGATGCCGACGCGAAAGTGAATGAGAAAGGAAAACCAATGTCATATTTATAATAGAGCCTTTTTTATGGCTAACCTCTGTTTTGACGTTATATGTAAACATAATCCAACATTCCAGATGTGTTTTTTCATTAATTCTAAATATATGGGTTTGGTAAAGTTTACATTGATGCAGTTATAATATATTAGGAACATATTTTCATTAATGTCCCGTCAAATGCATAAGTTTATCTAAAAATGATCTTAAACGTATTACTTTGTGCCCTCAGAAGTAGAAGTACGTTTAAACTTACCAAAACGAGAAGGTTTCAAATGTCAATTTCATTGCATATATGTCAAATGAAATCGACTCTCAAATCTTTTGACATATACGCAATAGAATTGAGAGTGGATATCCACTGGATTTGTTATGTGTGTATGACGTTTAAGATATTGTTTTTATTTCACGTATAATGAATAAAATTGACAATCTAAATGATGTGTTTTAAAAAAAACAAACTCCATGTAAATATAACCTTAGTCGGTGATTTGCTTTCGACGCCTGCATTAAAGTCATTATACTTTGCCTATACATGTCAAATTGTGTAATTTCAACAACATCATGGAAAACATTACAGTTTTATCTTTACTTTACATTTATTTAAAGTTTGCAATTGAATTAAATTCTGTTTTGCTCTTTGGCAACGACATTTGTTTGTACAGTACTTACCGCTTCTTTCTCTTTGCCGCCATGGCTTACGTTGCGCGGCAATTTAACTCACCTCCTGTGACATTTGTTAATTTCTGCTTTGACGTTTGCATGAAGATATGAAGATGAAGATGGCGTTAATTTCTGATTGATAAGTGTTAAAAAATAACTCGGGGAAAAATAAATAAATAAAAAATTAGTATCATTAAAAAACTAAAGACTTTTTTCATTTGTAACCACAAGAACTCAATGAAGAATATTTTATCCACAAAAAAGGTGTACAAAGATTGCAAGCGGCTTAGAAGCAAATAAAAAAAGAAGCAGTCCACGAAGTAATAACAGAAAAGAGAGCAAAAATGGTTTTTAGCGAAAATACACACAAAAAAGACTTGGTTAAAAAATGGTGGCAACAATTGCTGCTGCAAAACGGAATCGAAATAAGAGCTGTGAAAATTAAAGCAAAATAATTCTTCTAATGTCGGTCAAAAATTTGTCCAAAAACCAAAATTCCTTTGGTTGGGCAGCAATAGAAATTCTTAGATATTAGTGCAGCCCCCTTAAACCGCGCACAAACACACACGCACACAGCTAACATTACAAACAACACCACCAACAACTAAAGCAAGCAAGCTTGTGTTGTTGCCTGCCTGTACCACCAATAATTAAGCAAGCAGTTGGGAGGAAACATTTTCCTGTGCTGTTGTTTATCTATTGGAGAGTAGAGTTGATGAAAATGAACATTACACTAAGTATTTATTTTATAGATTCTCTTGGCGTTTAGAAGGAGACCCATAACCCCATAAATCTGACTGGGACACGTTTGGCTTGTGGAACATCATGACGGACATTGTGTATCCAGCGGGATGCAGACCGCTGTCCGAGGATCTTGGCACGGATGAACTTATACGAAGATTAAAGGTAGGTCATTTAAGGTCCGAAGTTTTTGCATTTGTACAATTTTTGTTTGATTTTATTTTTGTTACCCCATCCAGACTCTGGCGAATGTTTTACAGGCAATGGGCCAGGATGATGGTGTGTATCAACAGTATATACCATTATCCCTGCAACTAGCCGACGATCATTTCTTACAACATCCCTCACGCGATGTTCAACTGCTGGTTGCCTGCTGCATTGCCGATGTATTGCGTGTTTATGCTCCGGAAGCACCCTACAAGGACCAGGAACAAATCAAAGTTATATTTCTTTTCTTTATCAAACAATTGTATGGTCTTAAAGACCCTAAAGATCCCTCGTTCAAACGTTATTTCTATTTGCTGGAAAATCTGGCCTATGTAAAGTCATTCAATATGTGCTTCGAGCTGGAGGATTGTGCAGAGATTTTTTGCCAATTGTTTGGCATGATGTTCAAGATAGTCAAGTAAGTGCTGCACTTTGTAATTTAAGTTTCCAAATCTAACAAAAATGTTTTCTTTTAGTGAGGAGCATAGCACCAAAGTAAAGAATTTTATGATCGATATCATGAGTCCCCTGATAAGTGAGGCCGACAACTTTACCACAGACATTTTGGATTTAATCCTCATAAACATTGTGGAACCCAGGAAATCACAAAACAAATACGCTTACCAATTGGCCGAACAGTTGATCATCAAGACAGCAGATTCATTAGAGACGATAATCAAAATGGTAAGCAATGTACCGAAATTGAACTTGTTCCTATCTAACCTCTTATTCTTTGTTTCAGTTTTTTAATCAGGTTCTGGTTTTGGATAAAGTCGACAAGAACTATGAAATCTGCACTAAAGTTTACGACTTAATCTATGAACTACATTTAATTTGTCCCAATATCTTGTGTTCGGTATTGCCGCAACTGGAATGTAAACTGAAATCATCAAATGAACAGGAGCGTCTCAGTAAGTAAATCTATTCGTTTCTAAACAAATTTAATTATAATCGTTATTTTTTCTCCAAAATCGTGTACATGCAGAGGCAGTAGCTTTGTTGGCGCGAATGTTCTCTGAAAAAGATTCACAAATCTCCAAGAAACACCCAAACTTATTGCGCATGTTTTTCGGTCGTTTCTGTGACATATCATATTCGATACGCGTAAAGTGCGTTCAATCCTCCATGCACTTTCTGCTCAATCAAGCCCACCTACGAGAGGATGTCATCCAAAGCTTGCGTGCCCGACAACATGACTCCGATGAAAATGTTCGTTACGAAGTGGTCATGGCTATTGTAGAAACGGCCAAGCGCGAATTCTCCATAGTTTGCGAATCTGAGGAGCTGCTGGACATTGTTCGTGAACGTACGTTAGACAAACGATTCAAAATACGTAAAGAGGCCATGTTGGGTCTGGCCTTTGTCTATAAAAAGGCAATATGCGAACCGAATGATCTATCGAACGAAGTAAAAAAGAATGTCGAATGGATAAAAAATAAAATTATGCATGGCTATTATATGCCCACACTGGAAGATCGCTTGCAGGTGGAACGTTTGCTAATAACATCCCTAGTGCCCTACAAAATGGCTCCGTTGGAGCGCATGAAACAGCTATACCACCTCATGGGCACATTTGACGACAATGCCACAAAGGCATTCATTGAACTGCAAAAGAATCAAATGAAGACTCGCAAAACCGTCTTGGAGTGGGTAAAATTGCACAAAACTAAAGACATGACACCGTCAATGCAAAGTCAATTGAATATCAAGCAGGCTATTATTTGTAAACTCTTGGCAGATCCACTGAAAGCCTCAGAATTTATTGGTAAGTTTAGCACGAACATGAGAAAGGATCCCACATTGTTGCGCTACATGGAAATTATCCTCAAACGGGACGTTTCGTGTAAGGAGTGTGCAGACACCATGTCATTGCTGTTGAAAAAGCTGGGCACACCCATCATGACAAATCTCTATTATCAAACGGTGAAGATGTTGGTGGAACGAATAGCCTCAGTTATGATCGACAAGGAATCGTTGGGAATTTTAATTGGGTAAGATAGGCGGGCAAGCTATGGGGATGGAAATAATACTAATTGCGTCTTATCCCTTTAGATTGATTGAGGAGTGTATGCGTGGTGGAGACATTGTCAAGGAAATTGGCTTACCAGCCGATGAGGCCGGTGAGCAAGGCCTTAAATTGTTGACTGTAAGTATGCCCCGACTCCGTGTGGATTGTTGTAATAAATGAACAATCTTTCTTCTAGGCTCTGTCGTATTTATTCTCGCCCCACTTCTTTACCGACAAATCTCTGCGTCATCTGATCTCTTTGCTGAGCTATGACAATGACTATTCGGCGCCTTTAATATTGAAATCTCTTACACATCTGGGTCGCTACAAACCCCTGATTTCAGTGGACTCAGCTATACTCGAAGAATTGGCTCCAGTCTGCAAAGACTTTGCTGTGGAGGGTACACCGAAACAAGCCAAACATGCGGTACGTTGTATTTTCGTCAACACCCAAGCCCAGTTGAATGGTGGCACCGAACACTTGGACTCACCAAAGACTGTACATCCCATTTTCCATGAAATCATGGATAATTTACGGATTACCCTCAAGCCGAACTGTCCCCAGCAACGGACTAAAGTGGTTACCATGGGTCACATAGCCTACAATATGCCGCGGGCATTCGCCGAGAAAATAAAGAACATGATAGCCAGACGTATTGTCAAGGAGTTGCTAATACAACCAGTACCTGAAGATAGGATCTGTAAACGCATCGAGGGGAACTGGTGCGACCAGGAGGATTTGCCCACGGATACGTTGTGCAAATTGGAGGGACTGAAGACAATGGCCCGTTGGCTGCTGGGCCTGCGTGACGATGAAGCCTCGGCCAAGAAGACATTTCGTATGTTGATCGCCTTTATACACCATGGTGGCGATTTGCTGGATCACAAGCGTATGTTTGCCGCAGAATCGTCTTGGTTTAGGGCAGCAGCTGCCTGTGCGATGTTGAAAATTTGTGAGCAAAAAGGTGTTGGAGATCAGTATACCGCTGAGCAGTATTACAGTTTGGCACAGTTAATGGTGGGTGGTAGTAGCTATTAACTCGGCAAGGTGTTGTGCTAATTGATCTGTTTTTCTAGTGCGATCCTGTGCCGCAAGTCAGGGAGATGTTTGCTCGCAAGCTACACAAAGGTCTAAACAAAGGATTGCCCAGCAATTGTTTGCCACTCGACTTTATGGGTTTCTATGCCTTGTCGGGCCATGAAACGGATAAAAAGTAAGTTGTTCATTTATATAAAAAACGTTTATGATTTATAACATTGCCCTATTGCAGGCTCTTGGAACTAAAACGTCAATTTTTGGAAGCTGATGTCAACAAAAGAAGAGAATATTTAAAAACAATACAAGCAACCAGTAAGTGATTGGCGACACTTTGATTGTATTCCAGTTTTATTTCAGACTTTTTGCTTTCAGATCATGATGCAACGGAGGAGCAGCGTTTGCACATACTACCTGATTTTATATTGGCTTTTGCCCTACCCATACTTGTGCACGATCCACATTTCACCAACCATGAAGACCGTTCTCAATTGCGCCAGGTCGAGAAGTGTCTGCGTTTCATTTTGGAACCTCTGATGGCCAAGTCTGAGACATTTTCATTTAGTTTCTACAAGAATCTTATTGAAATGATGAAAAATCATTATGTGGTGACACCCAATGCTGACAGTCAGGCCTGTAATTTGGTAAGTCAATGAATTCGAAATTGTGCCAATTTATCCTGCAACATTTGCTTTCTGTGTAGAAACTGTGGGCCTGTTGCGATCTCGCCAACTATATTATCTGTTCCAAGATGGGACAGTGTGATTTAACGCCAAACAAAACATTCAATGTACCCATTACATTACCACCTCTATATTTCCAAGAGCCTCCGCCGGATGCTGCAGGATTTCCAAATACCAATATTTATATACCTTTTGATACGTATTCAATAATAACAACCTTAGGGACTAATAAGAAAGTAACAAATGCCTTGAAACCCACCACCAGTGGTGGCCAGTCATCAATAATAAAAAGTGCAGAAAAACGTCCAGCCTCCGATCATCTATCATCAATAGATCAAAATTCTCTGGTAAGCGGGAATTGTTTCCAACAACGTAATTGAATTGTAACTAATTGAATTTTGTTACAGGAAAATGCCTCATTGTTCGAGGCCATGAAGGATGAGACATCCGAACCAGTTACCAAAAAGGTACGGGGTGTTATGCGTGCCGGAAAAACGTAAACCATTTCCCAAAATAACATTCTAAGCTAGCACTTAAGACTCTTGGTAGATCCAGTTTTTATAGCGCCGTCATGTTAAACACAGGAACAAATATTTTTTGTAAAAAACATTTGTTTAGTTCGTCGTCATATTTTACACAAAGTGTCGTATCATCCATCCACCACCAAACAACGGCTGACTGGCTGGCTGGATGGATGGATTGATAGAATCGAATGGAAGAAAGATGAAGATTAATAATAATAACGATGCCTTTATCCGTGGTCTAATATAATTTACAGAAAAAAAGAAAACGTAATCTTTACTGCTGTGTGTCTGGGAAGCTTCCTCCGAAAGCCGATCCAGACCCAGTTGCTAAAATCAACAACCATGTTAATTAATGTTAAACAAAGAAACAAAACATAACAATGTGTAAAATGGAAAGAGATCAGCTTTACTCTACAACTACCAATGTTGGACTATTTTTTTTCTCGTTTATTTATTTCAAAAGAATCTACCGTGGAGGTATTGTTTTTAATAATTGTAATATGCGTTTGCGTTCCGTTGCTATTTTAAATGTGTTCCAAAATTCTCAGCTATTTTTTACACATAAAACAAACAAATCTGTGGGCATGGTTACATCTAGGTCCTTTCCCCCTGATAATGTGGTTCTATCATGATTTTCTGTGACGGAAAAATTCATGGAAATGTACGTTACATAGTTTATGATGTTCCCATTACTATTGTAGAGGACTTGAATGTAATCCTGTAGCCCAAGCTGAATCATAGTTTATAATCTTTCTTGTTAGTGGATACGAACAATTCGTCTTCAAAGATGCCTAAATATTTTATCTCTTTTTTTTTCAAGTTAACAATTTATATGGTTCGTGGTGGTCGCTTTCTATTGCAATGTTCGAATGAAATTTCCACTTTTTAGTTTTCAGCCACCCCATACTTTGGAAGTTAGATCTAAGTTTCAAATAACACTAATTATATACCGATAATGATAGAAACTTTCTTAAAGATAAGACCAATCAAACAAAGCAACATCTGATCTGTATGTATATACATATAAAACAAATCTATTGTTTTTTTTTCGATACTAAAAAAATAAAGAAAAAAAAGTGAAAAAAATCCAAATGTGTTTCATTTAGGGAGGGATGAATGAATGAAAATGGCCAAGTTTACAAGTTTTTTGCAAGGTAGCTGGTGTTCCTTTATTAGCGGCATTTTGGGCTCTTAAGACGCTATGTGATTTGATTAATTACAAGTACTTCTTTCTCATTCTCATCTACTTAACACAAACATTTTAAATTCAAAATTTCCCTCCGAGGTTGTCTTAGACTTTCTTAACAATTTGTACGACATCTTCATCGTTGAGAACATGATCGATACCAACCTTTTGTGGCTGATGTTTGACAGATGAACCCCAGACCAAGGCACTGAAAAACAAAACAAAAAACCCATAAAAAACTATTCCATTATTAATCAAATCAAGACTTACTATTTGAATTCCTTGGCAATACTTCGATGCAGTTTGTTACAGAAATCTTGTATGGTTGTGCGTTCACTGTTCAATACAATGGGCGAGCTGTAGTCCGGCAATTGTCCTTTCGGTTTGGTATAACTGGAAACACAAAGGAAAAGGAAAATCGCTCGTTTTGGCTAATCTGCTTAGATATGATATTCCCCTCATTACTTACATTCGCACCAATTGCAGATATTCCCACATCTTTTCCAGTAAATCATCAAAGTTCCAGCGATGATGAGCCGATATCGGCACACAATGTGGAATTTTGTAAATAACATCCAGTTCCTCAATGGAAATTTGATCGATTTTGTTTAGTAGATATATGCAGGGTATGTAGATGCGATTGCCTTCAATGACATCAATCAGATCATCACTGGTGGCATCGTAACGCAGCGTAATATCAGCATTGTGTATTTTGTATTCCGATAGAATGGTCTTGACCATGTCCGCGTCCAATTCAGATTGTGGTACCATACTGTTGAGGTTGACGCCACCCTTGTCCTTGCGTTTGAAGTAAATATTTGGTGGTTTCTTGTTGAGTCGTATACCAAAACCTTCCAATTCATGTTCCAGAAGTTTCTTGTGGCCCAGCGGTTTCAAACAGTCGAGTACCATGAAAATCAAATTACAGGTTCGAGCAACCGCAATAACTTGACGACCACGACCTTTACCGTCCTTGGCACCTTCAATAATACCGGGTAAATCCAGTAACTGAATTTTGGCTCCTTTATATTTAATACAACCCGGCACCGTTGTCAAGGTTGTGAACTCGTATGCCGCCACTTCGGAGTAAACACCCGCCAAATTGGAAAGCAGTGTTGACTTACCCACAGATGGAAAGCCCACAAAACCCACCCGGGCATCACCAGTCTTGGCAACTTCAAAACCTATTCCAGGATGAGTAACAAAGGCATGAGTAAAAATTCCTCCATATATACAAAATGTGCACAACTTACCCTGTTCTCCAGCACCGCCGCCGCCACCTTTGGGGGAAATCAATTCTCTTCTCAGTTTGGCCAATTTGGCCTTAAGCAGACCCAAGTGAGCAGAGGTGGCTTTATTTTTTTGGGTACGTGCCATCTACGGACCAACAATTAAAGAGGTTAGATTCCATTGCAATTTATTCACAAAAAAGTTCAACAAATGTACTCACTTCGGACTCAATGGCCGCAATTTTTTCCAAAATCGTACTCATTTTGGTAGAGATTTAGAAACTCTTGTTTTTGTTTAAAATAAAATAAAAAAATATATATTTAATTCCTGGCTATCTAGAAAAACGAAGAAGAACTCGCGTGGAACCTCATCGACCACAACACAACACCTAACTTAACTGTCAAAACAAAATGTCAAAGGCCGATGCTATGTAAGAGCGCGCGACGTATGTCGCAAATTACGGGCTGCGTTTTCTCTAAGAAATATTCTCATTTTAAAACAATACATAATAAGTTTTAATAAATGGATTCTAAAAAATAAAGGTAGTAATTAAATAGTTTAGAAATAAAATCGAAAAACTTGGCGTTGTGTCTGGTTACCTAAAAATGTTTGTAATAATTTTTTTCTTGCTATCACTTTTAACACTTCTTCTTGTTGTCCCAACATTCAGCTGCATTGTGGAAATTGCTGCAGTATTTGTTTTTATGGCGCAAAATTATTTTTTTTAATAAATCATCAGATTGCTTGCAAGATTGTGTATAGATTTGATCTGTTTACTTTTCACAGTTTTCTTGCAAACGAAAATAAAGCTCTCTACTATCTTACTCTCTCAGAAAGAAACTGCTTGACAATTCCTGCAGCAAACGTAACCAGACAGACCTAATTCTCATCAACCGTTATACCTTGTACAGCTAATTCAACCGGTTATTTGAAACGTGTTTTTAAACCACAAAACATGTTTTTATCAAGTAAACGAAAAAAATATTTAATTTAAATATTTATAATCTCTGTCATTTCTTTTTCTTCACATATACAGACAACAAAAAGCCTCTAGCTCAGATTTTCCGCGATGGAAACTCGAGAAGTAGATTTTTCCATGAACTAAAGGATCACGGGGACAAAGTTTTAAACAGCAGTTTTGACACGGCCCAAGGTACACTGAGTAAAAAAGTGAATTTAAAACAAACCCAAATATGTGTCAGACGTTCCCTAAAACGACCCTATGATTCCTTTACCACGGCCGATAAATTAGAAACCAAGACGGAATTGTTTCTCATGCCCATGCCCAAGGTCAAGGCAGACAGTGAGGGTGATGATAAAATAAAATTGAATTCCACCATTTGTGGCCAGCAAATGGATGAGAAGATAACAAAAAAGAATGCAGCAGAAATGATATCCAATGATGATCCCATGGAAACGCCCCAAAGAAATATGCGGGTCTTCGTTGGTAATGTGGACTTTGTTATTAAATTTTGTAAATTAAATCCAAACATAAATGCACTATGGGATGTTTATGGTAAGAAATGGGAAATCTTATTGCTAAAATGTCGGCTAGTAAATACGATGTCTTTGCAGGTAAACTAATTAAAATAACCAAAGGAAAACATCGTTTTGAACAGAATCTCTTGATTCGCAATCTCGATGGAAGTGGCCCGATTTTACAATGTTCTTATTTTGATTTCGACAACATTGTGGACAACATGACACTGGGTTAGTTAACAAATAATATAACAATTTATGGTCTGCTCCAGAACTGTAAGAACTTTACACCACTATAACCGATTTTCCCTTTATGATATCCAAAAAATTGCAAAAGAAGTAGATTCTTACAGTTTCTGGAACAGAGCTTTATTTTTAGTCTGTTTTCGCATAACGACTCTAAACTGAACTCGAAGGAAGAACACCAATTCCTTGTTTTTCAACTTTCTCTGCTTTTATTCAGAGTAAAAACTATACGGCATTTTTCTTTCGCATTCGTTTCCATATCGCAATGCAGAAACAGGTCTTTAATTCGTATTTATTTTTTTCTTCCTAGGATCAAATATTCGAGTTGTTGGCAAACTGTGTGGCGCCAGTTGTCTGCGAACCTTTAGACTTGACCAGTGTATTAGACCAATACACCAATCTAATTTTATACGCATTCAAAATGTAAACTCATTCGTTTTGCTACAAAATAAACACAGTACTTAATATATCTATAAAAATATGTATATTTATTCATTTTTCTTATCATATAGCCTTGTATATATAGAATATTAATACTTATTGTGTTAGTGCTTAGAAGGAATTTTAAAGCATTTTTTGTTTTCTTTTTATGATTAATTCTTGTTAACTACTAGGAAGAACCTATATTATTTTGTACTTAAAAGGAAAATTGCATTATAAGTTACTTTTGATCCAGATAAAATATCAAAAAACAAATAATGAAATATGTCTGTATGAAATAAATACTAAATTAGATATAAAATTGCCACTGTACAACAGCTCTGCATTGTGAATATTTATAAGTCTAAATACATGAGAACTGCAATGATTAGGCCGGCAGCCATGGCGGTTAAATATCCCAAATGAATACTGCTCCTTTGTTGATAGTAACTGAAATACGAAGAATAAATTATAACAATTTGAAAAAAAGACAAAAAAATAGATTTTAAAATTATACTAACATCACTTTTTTCCTGGGTGAAAATGGCGATGGAGGGTTAACACCCGGTACATTACTATCTAAATATACCAAACTGTAACCAAATATGGCAACAAGTAAGCCACACACAATGGGTTTAAGTGTATGGTACAATTCGTGATCATTGGCCCATACGATGGCATTACGATAGCTGTCTTCAATGAATCCTTTAAAATTTACAGCATTCTCCATGTTCGAATAGGGCACTGTAATAACAAAATAATTGATTATTCAAGAATTTCTCAAATGCATTGACCATATTTGGCCATACGGAGAGTGATTTTCATATGTATGTAAATGTGTTACACATTGAAAAAAAAATATATATATACGCGGAAGGAGGTGTATGTTAAGCTAGCATCTAGTATAGTCTACAGTAATGAGATCATCATTCAGTAGATACACTTTATATTGTTTACTTTTCCAATACGCACACACACAGTGTGTAAAATGAATGTATGGCAAAGACAACGTATCATCAATATTGATGCAATTTCAATTTGAATAGTTTTTAAATACCACACACGCCATAGATTCGATACAAAACAAAATGAAATGAAACAATTGGTTGTTATCTTTTCTTTCTGATAAACTCTCTGCAAAAATTTGGTGGTTGTAAAACTTATCATCATTGGCATTCACCTGTCCCAAACTTTTGGTTGTTGACACACCAAATAGCCGATAACGGTGAAATTTAAGTTAATCAAATCGAAATTGTCAAAAAAACAAATAATACGCTTTGCCGTTGGTTCAATAAACCCAATTATATCAAGAAATAAAAAAAAATTGTTACATGATTTTTAATGGAACTTCTTCTTAAATATAATTACAACCTTCATAAATATTTGAAATCAAATAAATTTAAAACGTTCTCAAGGCTAGAAGACAAAGGCACAGCAAGCTAGCACTAGGAAGGTGAATGTAATTAAGTCAAGTGCACAGTGATGTCACTATTGGTCTACTAGTGGTTGACATGAATGAGGAAAGTGGAAACGTATTCAAACATTTTAGAATGCACACTCACACACACGATACCACAATAGAAAACGCAACGCAGCGCACTTCCAATTCGAATTTTTGTTAACAAACAAACACCAACCAATAGAGGAAGAACATTCTCCGCTTCTTCCTCCCCCAACATCCATCCACCCCCACACAGACAAATCACTTGTACTACTTACTAACAATAACCATTTTATAGATCAAAATTGTACAGGCAAATCCAATGAACAGCGATATTAGACGTAAATCCAGCAACACTTCTTTTTTATTTCTTCCCCTCAAATTTGCGATTGTAATGATGTCTTGTCGCTTGTGGTGGCTGGTGAATGAATGAAATGAAGACGAATTATTGAAATCCGTTGTTATTGACAAATTGGCGTCCTCTTTTGCTGGCATTGTGCTATTCTATCGATTGATTTGTATATTCTTCTTCGAACAACAATAACAATTGTTTGTTTCAAAAAAATAAACAAAAATACAAAGCACACAAGAAGTAAGACGTATTCCTCCTAATGACGTCAACAACAATATATTTGTTTCAACAAAGCACAAGTACAAAGCCGTTTGGTTTGTTTGTTCGTTTGCGAGCGTTGGAAACAAAAATGAAAAACGTCCCAACGAAACGAATATTAAGGCCACAAAGGAATACCCGATAAAAAATAAACAGAAAGCAAAGACTCGGGGTACTCTGTTGTTTACGAATGAGTGTAATGCATAACGCCCGGGTACTCTGTTGTTTACGAATGAGACATGAGAAAATTGAACATCTTCACTGAAGAGCTCGGAACTAGTTCAACGTAGATGTACAAAGCACAAGAAGGAAGTAATGACGTATTCCTAATGACGTCAAATGTTTTGTGTAAGAACGAAAAGCCTAGTATTTTCTATGTAACGGCGTTATTTTTCGCCGGTTACTTGGCGGCGCTACTTACTAGGAGAAAAAATAATAGGTGTGTCTGGTTACTTTTCCTGCAGGAATTGTCCAGCAACATCTTTCTGAGAGATGTTGCGGTGGCGTTCACAATAAATAAATGCCATGGCGCAATAAAATAAACAAGCCAGCATTAGTTGTAGTTTCCAATGATCGAACGCCAAACTGAAAATGAGCCGGATATGCGGGGTCTCCTGATCTGTGATAAAAAGGTAGTGCCAAGCATGGTACAATGAAGAGAAGGTAGGTCAACTTTGAAAAAATTGCAAGTATAGAGGTCTACCCATGGTACAATGAAAAGAAGGTAGGTCAACTTTGAAAATTGATTTTTCAGTGTCTGGCATAAAATACGTATCTCTTTTTTTTTTTTTTTTTTTGTTCCAATGCTTGCCATTTTTCAATAGCTTGTCACCGTCTTTCTCTTTCTAGAGCTACATTTAAAATAATTTCTATCATATTTCTATACCACAAGTCTATCACATTAATCAGCCAGACTAAAGCGCCCCTAATGACGACAAACGTCATCGCTGTTATTGTATTTAACATCTAACCGTTATATGTGTTCCTCACTAACGAGCCTTCGTAACTATTGATTTTTTCACTAATCAACATTTCAACACTTCGGCCAACACAAGGATACACATATTTTACTGAAAAAATCAAATAAAACAAAATATGGAATCAGAATCCTTGTTGGAAAATAATGGTTTCGATTTAACAAAAGACTCAATGGATTCATCATCCGATACAAATAATAAAGTCAAATTTAACGAAAATAACAATCAACAACATATTGTGCCGATTGGCTTGCTAATTGTTTTGCTAACAATCTATTTGGGACTGAGTGGTGTACAAAGCTGTTTCGCTAATAGCTCCCAAAATGAGGATATTTTAAAATCTCTACCAAACTTGATGTACAATCAAGTCGAAATTAATGAGCGTCAACTGATATTGGAACGATTCTTGGAATATAAGGATATATGCAGGGATTTGGAAATATTTACCAAAGAAATAAACCGAACAAAGCCTAAGGTTCCAAACAAGTCGGCTGAGATTAGAAAGAAAGAAACCACTTTGAAAACCGAATATAGGGACTATAGTGGTAGTGGAAGTGGTAGCAGAGCTGTTGCTGATGGCAGCGGAGATGAATGTGCCACCACCAAGTCTTACAGTAAGAAATATAAAAAGCCTAAATCTAAATATTATATAAAATTACCTAATAATCCAAAAAATGGTTTCCACAAACACAATAAATCAACTAAAGCTAAAAATGCCAGACATCACGACAAAAAGGATCTGAACATAAATAAGAAAAATTCCTCGGCAGAACCAATTATATATCTTTTTGCCTTGGTTTTTATTTATTTGCTGTTGAAAGCAGCATCAGATATCAATCAGCATTACAAATCGGTAAGTTGCGAGGAAGAAACAAAAATTAGAGGTTTTTTAATTAGATTTCGTTTTTTAGGAAAACAAAAACGACAAACGTTTTATGAGACGCTGTTCTTTGCAATCCTATGCTCAAGCTCACCGAGATCGACGTTCATCAAAAGGTATTTCATCAAAAAGTTTGCCGAAATTTTAAAGAATCGATTTTTTTCAACTACACCTATTACCTACAACTTGTTGAAACTCTCTTTGACACCCGGTAACCAAACAAAGAAGCATTTAATCTGTTAACTGTACCTACAAGAAACAAATGACTTGAAATCAAAAAAAAATGATAACTGACCAAATTTGATGAAACTATCAAACAACACTTTTAGCTTTAAATACTTACATACAAAACATCCTAAAAGGAAAACTTATTTCTCCTCTATCTAAATGTTAATGTGCATACATACCTATTCAGATTTGTATGTAGAATGTGTAGAAAAGTAAGAGTCGTGTTTCATCTTTTTTTGAATGTACCTACTATGTGATTTATATATATATATACATTATTAATACCTATACATATATTTGATGTAAAGACTTCCCCTCCGTACCTTTTAGCTTTATATCTACTAGCTATATGAATTAACACCAGTCAATTTAAATGTCCTTTTGTTGAGAGAAAACAAGTTCTTCTCGCTCTATCTATTTGTGTAAATTGAACCAGAAGTCAGTTTTTATAATTTTATTTACATCACTTAAATTTTTCTGTAATTGATAATTCTGGCAGTTAATTTTTTTAACTATCCAATCACATTTTTTCACGTTTAATAATTCTGGCAATAATAAGTTAAAACTAGTTTCGGTTATATACTTGTAAAGAAGATTTTAAAAACATGATGATTTGACAAGTAGTAGATATTATTTAAAATAGGCCAGCCCCGTTGACACATAGTTCCTAATTTTTGTATTATTTATTAAGCTTGAGCCCATGGCCTATATAAGGTCGGCTAGTAAGTCCATCTGACAGCTAAGTTTGCTGTCAAAAGATATATTGTCAAAAGTTGTCTTCTAGGCCAACCTTATATGGACCTTGCTTGAGTCAATGGGGTTGTCGTAGAGCCCTACGATGGAGATTATTCTATTTATTTAAATGTTCACCTGTATCTTTGTCACTTACAGGGTGAGATAAAAAACTGCAACAAAGTCAAACGCCATAATTTTTTACATCAAATTTTGATGGCCTTCGCGAATTATGATGGCCTTTAAACGGCCAATGAAACCGTCACACGCTGCCCGAATGTTGCTCTGCGGTATTTTGGCACATTCCCTGTGAAGCGCTTGCTCCAGAATATTTTCGCGATAATATTCGGCATTTATTCTGATTCCACGATCGATTAATACGAGGAGAGAGCGACCATCGGCTGTAATGGCGGCCCACACCCACACCATTACCAGGGCCGGTGCTTGAGTTCTGCTGGCCAACCGAAGTTGCACATTTCCACCTGACCTCTTTGGCAAGTAAACACACGATCATTTTGTTTGTTTACAAACTGCTGGACAACGAATGTTTTTTCATCGCAGAAAACCAAATTCAGCAGTTCACCATTTTCGGCCAAGCAAAGCAACTCTTTAGCTCTTTTGAGTGTATTTTCTTTCTGTGACGGTGTAAGTTCTTGCACTTTTTGCAATTTCAAGGGCTTTACCCCGAGTTCATTTTTCAATGCCATTTGCCGAATGGAATATTGAGATATGTTCAGCTCACGGCCACTGCGACGCGGGTTTTGATCAAGTCGCTTCTTTACTTTTCGAACCATTTCCACTGATGTTGCTGTTTTCTTCCGTCCACTTCCTTGACGTGGGGCTACGCTACCAGTATCGTGTTAACGAGCGATGGTACGAGACACTAAAGATTTATTCACATTTTAATGCTGGAGTCCTCTAACGACAGCCACTTGCGGTTGGTTTTCCAGTTAAAAATAAAGAAATCACGCTTGAATTCCATCTCGAATAACTTTTTTTCTGGGAAATTCTCACCAAAATGCTTGTGTGCGCTTGTAAACATTGTCATGAGCTGTCACTGGAATAATTTTAACAGCTGTGGGAAGAGTGGCTTAGAAATGACAGCAATCTGAAGATGGTTGCAATTTTTTTCATCTCACCCTGTAAATACTTTGACCACGGCCTATAAACCACCTGAAAACTTTCTAAACAGTATTTGAATTTTATTATTTTTTTCATTTATTATTGTTGTTCTATTTGTTGTGTGTATTTTAGCAAATTACTGAAGAAATAAAAAACTATTATAATTATTATATTTTATGTCTAATCTTTGTGTGTTTCCTTGTCTTTAACTCACATGTCTCTCATCTCTTCTATCCGCCAAAACCGTTGGTTTGGTTTCCTTTTCGGTGTTTTTGTACTCTTTCTCCTTCTCGCCGAAATATATTTTTGTATGAAAATACTAAATTAGCAAATAACCTTTTTACAAAAATCAATCCAAACAACCACATTAGAATTGGCATTGAAAACAAAACAACAACAGCAACATCAACGCACATTGGCATCCTTGCAACGATCCATCATTGCTGAACAGCAGAAGCCAAAACCACAACAACAACAACATTTCTATCATCACCACCACCACCACATCGAAACATCATCCGTTCAAAGAACACCATCAACACCTCCCACACTCTCTCCGGCGCCCAGGAGCAGCCACGGCAATTGGCAATTGCTAAGACAACACATGACACTATCTGTAGATAATTCGGACCTAATTGTAACACCCCTAACTAAACCAGGTAGGTTTTGCTTGTAAATCCCCCCTCAATCCTCAACTCAATGACAAACGTTGTTTGAACAACATCCATAAACCCCATTTGCATTCATTTCATTGAAGAGTTCTCCTCCATGATGAAACGAAGACGTTGTTCGGTGCCAGTTGCTCTAAATTACCATAGACAAACCACTAAAAACTCCTCAAATCCAAATCCCTTGGGAACACTAACTGATCCACTAATCAGACGAACCTCCATAACAATGCCCCTGGATAGCTTAGATCCATTGGCCGCAAGCGATGGAACCAAACGTAGAGTACGCATGATAAACAGGCATTAAATTATATATTTCAAAAAAAAAAAGACAAGTAAAAGAGCTGTAAGTTCGGCCGGGCCGAACTTTAAATACCCTCCACCATTTGGAAGGAACTTGAAAATTTTTAAAAAACTTCCGGAAACTACCACTTAAATGAAAACTGTTATATGGAGACTATACGAAGACGTGGACCTGCTTACGAAATATTTTGTCTTAGGCTGTAGTATCCATTTCGAACTTCAAATACGAAATTTGAAATCATTCCGGTTAATAATGTCGCTGAAATCATGAAAATATCGAATATCGGGAGGTACCGTTTTATGGGGGCTATACCAAAATGTGGACCTAAATACAAAAATTTTTGTCTTATGCTGTAGTATTCATTTCGAACTTCAAATACCAAATTTCAAACAATTCCGGTAAATACTATCGCTAAAGTAATCAAAATCATGAAAATGCCGAATATCGGGAGGTACCGTTATACTGGGTGAGATGAAAAAACTGCAACCAACTTCAGACTGCTGTCATTTCTTAGCCACTCGTCCGGCAGCTGTTAAAATTATTTCAGTGACAGCTCATTATATTGTTTAGAAACGTACAAAAGCATTTTGGTGAGAATTTTCCAGAAAAAAAGTTATTCGTGATGGAATTCAAGCGTGATTTCTTTATAATTGACTGGAAAATCACAAGTGGCTATCGTTAGGGCACTCCAGCATTTAAATGTGAATAAATCTTTTGTGTCTCGTACCATCGCTCGTTACCGTGATACTGGTAGCCTAGCCCGACGTCAATTGGAGTAGAAGGAAGAAAACAGCAACATCAGCAGGAATGGTTCGAAAAGTAAAGGAGCGACTTGATCCAAAACCGTGAGCTGAACATATCGCAATATTCCATTCGACAAATATTGAAAAATGAGCTCGGCGTAAAGCCATTGAAATTCCAAAAAGTGCAAGAACTTACACCACAAAACAAAGAAAATAGTCTCAAAAGAGCTAAAGAAAGTGGTGAACTGCCGAATTTGGTTTTATCCGATGAGAAAACATTCGTTGTCCAGCAGTTTGTAAACAAAGAAAATAATCGTGTTTACTTACCAAAGAGGTCAGCTGAAAATGTGCATCTTCGGTTGGCCACCAGAACTCAAGCGCCGGCCATGGTGATGGTATGGGCCTCCATAACAGCCGATTATCGCTCTCCGCTCGTATTACGTATTAATCGACCGTGGTATCCGAATAAATCCCAAATATTGTCGCGAAAATATTCTGGAGGGTGTATTAAAGCCATGGGCACGAAAACATTTTTGCCGCAGACCTTGGATATTCCAACAGGACTCAGCACCATGGCCACCCAAGAATGGTTACAAAATGAGTTTCCTCGCTTCATTTCCAGCTTACAATGGCCACCAAAATCTCCGGATACCAATCCGTTGAACAGATTTTGTCTGGTGTATTTTGGAAAGCAAGGTTGGCACTAAAAAATTCCAAAGTGTCGATCACCTCAAACAAGCGCTTCGCAGGGAATGGGCCAAAATACCGCAGAGTAACATTCGGGCAGCGTGTAACGGTTTCATTGGCCGTTTGACGGCCATAATTCGTGCCAAGGGTGATCAATTCGAACAAATCTAAACTTATTATAAATGTTGATGCTATTTCGGACATTTTTTGATTTCATTCCATAAAATTAAAAAAAAAATTATGGCTTTTGACTTTGTTGCAGTTTTTTTTATCTCACCCTATATGGTAACTATACGAAAACGTGGACCGACATGGCCCATTTACGAACTTAACCTTCCTACTGGAATACTATGCATGTGTGCAAAATTTTAGTCTTCTATCTCTATTCGTTCGAAAGATTGAGTGATTATAACTGACGGACAGACAGGCAGTCGGAATATATATACTTTGTAGGGTCTAAATAATAAATAAATATATATACTTTGTAGGGTCTATTATAAATATTTCGAGAAGTTACAAACTTAATATAAACTCCATATTATGGTGGAGGGTATAAAAAAAGGAAAACGCATCAATTAAATGAAACAATTTACAAAAAAATGTATACGGATTTTATTCGTAAACTATTTGATATGAATATGTATAAAGAGCAGTGAATGTAGTGTAGTTGTGGTAGTTAAAAGTAGCGGGTGTGTTGGTGTAATTTATGTTTAGGGCCCTTAACTAAAATCATAAAACAAACTAAATACTATGCTATACTATATATATGTGAAGCGCATACACATGTGATTTTCTGAAAACGAAAAATAAAAACCAAAACAAGTTTAAAATTTTAAAGTCTCTGGAGAGAAAAAAATTTTTTTTTCATCTAAAATTTGACGATGTTTTAATCTATGTTTCTAATCAACAGCCGGTTTTAGGCTTTTTTCTTTCAAAAATGGATTCTTGCCATGAAACAAAAAAGCTCTCGGAAAGTACAAAAAAAATTCGCACCAATAACTAAAAATGTACACAAGTCCTTTTCCCTTCAGAAAACCACAGATACATATATATATATATAAAATATATTTGTGTTATTTACATTTATCTCGAAAATATATAATATATATATAAATAATATTAAGAGTTTTTTTATTATAAAAATTTCATTATTAAAAATCATTATTGTGCACTTTTTCATTATCGAATTTTGTATATAAAATAGTTTTTCATTTTTTGCCAGATATTATGATACTCAAAGTCACCTATCTAATAGTTCCAAGTGTTGAGAGATAAAAGCATTTGCTTCTTATTTCTTTCACTTTGTTTTTTAATGTACATTTTATTATTATTATTACTATTGTTAAAAATTATTAACACTAAACTACTTATGGTGTAATTTTTATTAAATAAAATTAAAATTAAAATGAAAAAAAATTATTACACACTAAAAGGCAAGATATTTGAACATGTACTTGTCAACGGTTGTTTCGATTTCAAACTACAAAAGTGGCTTGGAATACTACTACTTTGCATTTGTATTGAAAGTTTTTTGTTTCGTTTCGTTTTGTGATATGTTGCTTGGAATGGAAGACGTTACTGTTACGCTCTCAGCTCGACGGCTAACTCAACTCATTACCTTCGTAAAGACTTTCACAGCTCTCCAAGAGACGCAGCACCGGTGAAATGTCATAGGGATACAGTTGGCGCGACACCAGCCTTGATATTTGCAGTCTCAATCGTATCAAGACACTCATCGCCTCGTCCAGTGTGCTAGCACCCATACCAAAGTCATGGCAGCTCTGTACAAACATGGACCAATTCATCCGTATGTACTTGAGGAAGCGCAACAAATACAACAGGAAACACGTCTCATTGCTAACCAGCAAATCAAGCAGTAAATCCGAACTGTTCGATATCATTTTCAGGAACTCTAGGAATGTGTAGACGGGATTCAACATGGAAACCAATTCGGGAAATGCATTGTTGCGAAACGATATGCCAGCCGTGACGTCCAGCGTACACACCATGGCCTCAATCAAATGATCGTCCTGATCATCGAATAGATGTATTAGAATTTTACTAAAATGACATTCGGGATGGAATTCCAGAGTGTGTTTAATAAATGATTCCAGTTTGCGCAGAACATCTCGTATGGAGCGTTCAATTAACACCATATCCTGAAAGGCATCGTAATCCGTGGAATCAATAGACGAATCCGATGAATCGCTGCGTATTTCCTTGACCGTAACGGCTATTGACTTCAGGACGAGTAGTACGATTTTCTGTAAAATCGTCTTGTCCATCTCAATAACTTCGGCCGCATTCAAGGCACTTGAGTTGACATCATCGTGTCCATAGGGATGATGTTGAAGTGACTGGGCGGCGTATGCAACTGGTTTCCGCTTGAAACCAATAAAGCCCACAATATTCTCCGGCTGTCGACGAGGTAGAGATTCTAAGATACGAAAATCCTTTACATGCCGCACAATTTGATGTGCCAACATACAGGTTTCGTCGGGCAACATATCCTGCAGCGCCAATGTGGAGCCATAGCACAGGGCCTCATTGAACAGACACAACATTTGTTTGTACACTGTGCACGACAGGTGCTGGTTCAAAAGCAATTCGAATTTATCCAACTGGGCATAGAATGGCAAGGTCTCCACTATGGAGAGATTTGCTTTTACCGAAATGATATTCTCCCATAGCTGGAGAAAGTTCAAGATGCAGTTCTCGGCATTTTCCACATCCAAATGATTGGCTATTAGCGCCGACATATTCTTCACCAATGCAGGCCATTTGTTTTCGAGTATTTTGATGGTAATGCATTTAAGATGGGTGGTATCAAAACTTTCCGAGTCGGTGAGCGTGACCAGATGACAGCCTTGACCCAACGTAGTGTTATGCTGAGGATGATGATGATGATTAATTAGATGCGTTTCCATGCCATTAAAGTGATGTTGTTGATGTTGCATGGCCGCTGTGCTATGGGCATAAACAGTTCCACTACCCTCATTGGCAGCCGACACATCGTCAATATTCTCCGCGGAACGATAATGCATGGCAAAGTAATTGCTCTCCAGCGAAGTTTGTTGTGTTTGGAAATGCAAATATCCATGTCTACTCTCCCCCACAGAGGTCGAAGCCGTCGGCTCCGATATACTATGCGTTTCGGCAATCTCTTCCTCCAGGGGATGTAGATCAATGTCCTTCCATTCAACAATGCGTTTAATTATCTCCAAGCTAAAGTGCATTTTTTGAACGGCAACATAATCCAGACGATCAAAGTTAAACAGATTATCCACCAGTTTCTTTAACCAATCATCGTCCATTTCCTGTTTGGCTATAACCAGAAATGAGGCCAGAACACGTCCGGCCAGAAACTGTACATACATATTGTTATAGCCCGCCAGGACGATGATCTCATCGATGAGATTGTGGTCATTGCGTATCAGAGCATCACAGACATCCATGATACGCGCACATATGAAGCCCTTGGAGTTCTGCTTTAGATATATGTCAAATAGTAACTGTAGATTCGAGAGGAATTGCAAGAGTTTATTCGTCGGCCATTCACTTAGGTTTGCCACACGTTTCTGGCCATTGGCATCCATTGAATAATGCGATTGGAATGGCTTTCGCAGCATACGCTCCGATACTCCACACAAACACTGTCTATTCAAAGATTCTTCAAATTCCCGCATATCCTGGGAGGCGGTAATTTCATCCAGCCTTTGTGCCCGCGCAGGTATTGTTGTTGTTGCATGGTTAGTATTTGGTACAGTGTGGCAGGATGTGGTTAGATTATTGTTAAGCAATTTGTTACTGCTGCTGGCGATGTTGCTGGCCGAAGACAAGGACAGCAGATCGGGTAGTGTCACCCGATCCACCTCGTCGGCTGAATGGTCATTGGAACTACACACACTACTGCTACTACAGCCACTTGAGGCACTTGCTATCATATTGTGGTCATTGTGTATAGCTACGGATGAATCTTCTTTGGATGTGGGCAAGATGCTGGTGGCTATGTTTTGTACACTTAACAGCTGTGTTAGCGAAGATGCTCTCGAACTACTCGGGGTGGATGACGGTGAGTTATTTGACGATGAACTTTGTGTGGCTATAGAGTTTACCGAGGACGACAAGGAGGAACACAAAGGAATCTTATCACTGCTATAAATTATATCCGGAGGGCATGGTATGGCTGCAGTAGAAATATTTGAGACAGGAGTCGAATTTTCAACTGTTGTTGATGGCTTTATTTTTTCAATTTTCTGCCGTTTAGTTTGGGGCTGTTCATGGTTGGCACTGTTGTTCGCAAGACTCAACGATGACGGATTTATGTTGGCATTTATATTATTGCTATTGTTGTTGTTGTTATTCGAATTTTGAACTGTGGATGGCATTCCGGCTCCTGGCATAAGCACATAGTTAAGATCTCCTCTACTCTGGGTATCCTTTTGGGAAGACATAGCTCCAAAGGCGTGACAGACGTTCCTGACGTCCTCGCGCAACAGCCAATTCAAAACAGTTAATGGACCAAATGGAGATTTTACTTTATTCCTAGAAATACAATAATTCTTGATTATTCACATCACTTTAAATTCACGACAACAAAAGACGAGAATAAGGAACAACAAAAACACCAATCCAAGAAACGCTCCACCATCATCATATACATAGCATTGTTGCCTCGCATTGTGGTGAGTAGTGATGCCATGACAAAAGGGCTACTGTGCTACGCAGCTTCACAAGGTTACGTGTGCATTTAACTCTAAAGCAGTAGCAATCCTTATGGCTTCAGGATTTTGGTTATTCCAGGGCAGTTGCTGGCGTTTCCATTGAATATTTGTAATTTTTGTTGATTTTTATCTCCGTTTTATTTACCTTTTTAGCTTTTTTTATGTTAAAATGTTTTGTTTTTGATATCTGCGCACAACACTTCATTTGTTTTCGTGTACCAAACCGAACGTATCATGTTGATCGTTAGCCACAAACATTATACGGAATGCTGAGTATATAAAATTATTGTTTTGAGTAATAATTAATTCGGAATAAAATAACACAAGCCACAGTAAAAGAATTTTTCAATTTTTTTCTTGATTTCGACTTCTTTTCTTAATTCACATACTATGTCGCCATCTTGCTTTGACATTAGGGATACGTAGGTCGACTTTCGCGTTGTCTTGAATTCCGCCTTCAATTCATATTTTGTTGACTATTTCGTTCTCACATCTCTCATATGAACACTTTTAATTATCATCTTTTTCGTATTAGTTGTAACACCCTGTTGTTGCAAAAGGTGTGTAATCAGAGGGGATTTTTTGAGAAATATCACTTTTAGTTAAGCTATCTCTCATAAAAACACACTCTTCTTTCAGTGTAAATTGGGACTCTATATATTTTTTGCTCCGTAAGTCCTGATTTATACTAGACGAGTTTTCTGGCAGCAATTTTTGCCGTTCTCTTTAGAACTTGCCTCTTGCATTATTTATTTATTATTTTTTTTTATTTTTTGTCATTTATAATTATATTTTGGTATAAAAATAAAAACACAAAAGGCAATACTAGCAATTGTTTTCCATGTCCTTTTCCCTTACCTCTGTGTAATACAAACGAATAATTGCCGCCAGAGAAAATGCCTAATATAACTTCGGACTAAGGCTAGTTTGCCTGATGTTTAAACGTGGAAATAACTTACAACATACACAAAATTTTATTTCATTTATTTATTTATATATTGAGATGAAAAAGCCATTAGGCCAATAAGTATCACAACTATCAAAAAACTACAAAAGTGTACTAAAAAAAAAAACATCTTAAAAATATTACATAGTGTATCTTAAAGTAACATTAGAAATCATATGTAAAAGGCTCCCCAGCCAATGAAAATGTATTTAAGTCTATTGCTGGTAATAAAAAAAACAACATTGAATCAATAGATACAGCATTGTCATATATCATTAACAAACTAATTTTTAACCTCCATTTGCCTCTACAAAGTTTTCAAACATGCGGCAAAAAACACCGCGAGAAAAAGAGAATTGTCGTAGCTCAGCTGGAAGCTGATTCCAGATTCATGCGGAACGAACTATGAAAGATTTTTCATATAGAGACGTAGAAAAATTAAAATGGATTCTTGCAGGTTCTGAAACAGAGCATTAATAAATTTGCACTACCTTTGCACCATGAGTGCAGCCGACAGTATCGATAGAAAAAATATCAATCGATATCCCCTTTTAAAATTAATTGTCGATACTATCGATATTGACATCAATTATTTGCCACCTCTAGAGCTGATGATGCATCTGGTTTAACTTTAGAGATTTGGAGAATTACGAGTGAAAAAAAAATGCCCTGTTGCTTGGACGAATCGCCTCGAGAGGATTTGGATGTTTCCTTGCAAATCTTATCGCTCTACAATACAGCACAGCATGTGGATCCAGTGACTGACCCCCAGGTGGTACGGGAAATAACGCAAACTGATCATCTAAACAAGAGGTTGTTGTCAACATTTCTACAAAGAATGAATGTTATGGATCTGCCATCCTTATCTGATAAAGATGATGGCGAAAATGCCAATGAATTCGACGATTAATTTCTTCTTTTGCAGTATTTTTTTATGTAACTAAACTTATGGAAAATAAAACTTATAAATAAGGAAAACTGAAATGGACAGCAGATTGTAATGTTATGATTATTATATGCGTCGTCTTTTGTTACTCTGAACAGGAGGCGGTGGCGGTGTGGTTGAAGGGCTGTTTGATTCCAATGACATAGAACCTCTGGTACGCTTTGGGGTTCGCTTGGGAGCATCGGAAAGTTTTGCAGTAAGTTTCTTATCCAAGTCCTTAACTGTGGGCGTTGTGCTAGGTAATTTGGTTTGTGTAAATGATTTGTCTGGAATAAGGATTTGCCTTATATTTTCATTGAAAGACTTGTGGAAAAAACTTACCTTTAGTTGTGTTGTCGGTTGCGACCGCAATTATGGATGGAGGGTCGCTATTGTCCTCAACAATATTGCCTCTTTTCTTCGATAGAACCAACGAAAATTCGGCTTCGGGCAAAGAAAATTCTTTTTCATCATTGGGAAATGGCAGTGGTTCCAATTCATCTAGAGCCTCCAGATTGTACAAGGTTCGCAAGTGACCCCAAACACTCTCTGTGTCACGGTTTAAGCCTACAAAACAAAAACAAGTTCGCTTGTATATATTGGCTCCAACTTAGCTATTACAATGTGTGAGCGTATGTGCTTACGTTCGGCAATACAGGCTATGTAGAAATGCTTGTTAACACCGACAGGCTTTAGGCCCGCCATGGCATAAAATAGCTGAATCTCTTCCTCGGGTGTCCATTCTTGATCTGCAGGAGCAGCCAAGCTCCTTTCTCTTGCTGTCATCGTCATTGTGCAAAGGGAAAAAGGGAAGTTTTAAACTTGTGCTGATTCTCGTAGAGGTGGCAAATTATTGATGGCAATATCGATACTTTATTTTTATAGATAGTTTTCATCGATATGTTTTGATCAAATGATGGTGCTAAACGATAACAGGAAAACCCCAGTAGGAAAATTTATTCAATGGGAATCGAATTCTGCATAAAATTAGAATCCAGTAACATTTTTATAAATAAAATATATAGCCAGGGAGAAACTTGGACTCAGCATTGAAGCAGGAAGAAATATTATTCCTCTTCTTCATGTTTATATATTTTTACTTTTGATATGGAATATTTTTTTTTGCAAAGGCTCAGTCTTATATTTAGTTTCTAATTAATTTTCTATGAAAATTGCCAAAAGGGCCCCTTCACTGACGCTGAAGTGTGGGAGAGCAAATATTAAACGGTCCGTTACTCTCCCTCACTACCTCATAAACAACTCACTAGTCCGGTAGAAATAAATACGAGAAGTAACGGCGTCGTAAGTTCGTAGGGGCTTCGACATTCCTTTATAAACTGAAAGCAAAGAAATGGCTTTTGGTGAGCACGTGTTGGGTTTCTCGCCCGATGGAAAACTTTTTGCCCTTATCAATGAACAAGGAGTTCTAAGGATATGGGACACAGATACCAACGAACTCAAACAGGAATACACGCCGAATTTGCATTTGTCTGGACCATGTTCGGCCCTGGTGTGGATATCGGTTTCTTTGCCAGGAAGTGTTGTCAAAGACAAGAAAGTAAGTAAATGCCACATGTTTCCTGCAACCAATAACTGAACAAAACACTCCATTTCTTTGACAGGGTAAAAAGGCAAGAAAGTCCAGTGAAAGCAGTGAGTCTCTTTACATTGCCCTGGGTACCTCAAAGGGACATGTCTCGTTGTATTCCTATGCAGAGGCCAAGGTATTGTTGAATGCTTTCATACATGAAATTTGAACATCATCCACTGATTGTTTTTTTTTTCGTAGATTGAACGTAGTCTTAAGGGCGAGGGACACAATGGCAAAATAACATCAATCATAAGGGATACGGAGGGGCATCTCTATACCTGCGGAGAAGATTGTCAAGTTATTGTTTGGTCTCTGGCGGAAGAAAAACAAATTAGATCGTGGAATGTGGGCCCCGAAAAGCCATTTAGTATTTCATTAATGCCTACATCCAATTCATTGGTCGTGGGCTCCCGCACCCTTAAAGTATATTCCACAGAAAAAGAAGAACTGGTGCAAACATTTACGGGACACACTTCAGAAATAAATCATATGGCCCAATTTGTGAGCAATGATGGTGGTGAATATGTTCTCACAACCTCACGAATGGAACGTATAATATGCTTGTGGAAAATTGGAAAGAAAGGTCGCAATAAACCAGCGGCTTGTACTCTTCTAATGGAGGACATAGCCCACAGTCTTACATGTCACATTGATGATGAGAACACACTGCGGGTATCCAGTGTTACACGAAGTGGCGTAATACATCTATACGTTTTAGATATAGATGGCATAAAGGCTGACAAACCATTGAAACCAAAAGTAACCATTAGCATTGCCTCCGATAGTGCAACTGTTATTGAGCCGATTTCGGCAGTGGCAGCTTCACTCCAACATGCAAACAGGCAAGGAGAATTGCTATTTGCTTATGGCGATAAACATTTCGTCGTATTTGAACAATTGAAACCAAGTTTCGCTGAAAAAATGCAGGTTTTGATACGCACTGACCCGCGAAAACATGTCAAACAGCAACTGTTGGGAAAACGCAATGAAATCGGATCTGAGAAGACATTAAAAATGATGACACCCATAATAGATGCCAAGGATGTTGACTACAAGTCATCAATATCTGTGACAAAGAAGAAACTGAAATCCTTAGATATGCCCATGGAAGCTCGATTGCAGAACCTCAACCTGAATGTGGGCGATGGCAAAGTAATACCCCAGGCTCAAAGTAAAGTACAGTTGTTGGTACAATCCCTGCACAGTAAAGATGAGACGTAAGTTGTGATTTGTACATATATCTCCATTGATAAATATATTTAATAATGACTGATATTTTCTCCAAAGGTTGTTACGCTCCGTGTTATGCACAAAAGATATGAAGACCATAGAGCTTACATTGCAGAAATTACCAGTCCAATATGTGGGCACTTTGGTCAATGAATTGACATTGTTAATGCAGCAAAGGCACACAAAGTAAGTGGCATACATGCTTGTTATGAATAGTGCAATAATATGCAATTTAACTACTCCCGTTTAGTGTTGAATATGCAATGAACTGGCTGAAAGTCCTGGCCCAGACCCATTCCAGTCAACTTATGGCTTTGGGTGCTGAAGATTTGCTGAATAAATTCGGTCCCTGCATTGGAATAATTGAACATAGAGCCAACTGCTTGAAAGAGTTGTCAAAGTAGGTTTTACATTCAAGCCAACCGAGAGTTTAAATTAATTACATATTTGCTTTCAGATTGAATGGCCGATTGCAGTTGCTTGTTAGTCAAATAAAACGAAACAGTGAAATGGATCAAGACAATCTTAAGAGTGATAATTTGTTGGTCTTTGAAGATAACGATGGTACGCCAAACAACTTTTAAAAATGTCAAACATTTTTTTAAATAATATTCAATTTGATTTTCTAGATTCATCAACGTCGGATCTAGATGATGCCATTAACAAATCTTCTTCGGACGATGAATGGGAAGAGGGCGAAGATGAGGATCAGAAAAATGGAGGGGACTCTATGGATCAGGATGACGATGATGAAGATGATGATATGGAAATGTAGTTAGAGTACAAATCTAAACTTACTATATTCTTAAGTTATATTTTTAGGTAGTTAGTATTGTCAATAAATCCAATGTTCAAGGTCCCCCATCTAATCAATCAAATACAGTTCCGGCCGTATTTTTTTAAAACATCTAACAAATAGGTATTTTTATTGTTTTTGTTTTTCTTTTTTTCTTGAATACATTCTACATCTATGTGTTTTTTGATGATGAAGTATATACGACAATAGGTTGTAACAATTTGTATATCTCATTTGTGTAAATATGACAACGACAGAGGGCATATAACGCTGATATTCACGTTTAACTTAGTTTTCTAAAGAATAGTTTCTTATAACGTTTGTATGTAAAAGCTTCTAATTTGTGTGAGTATGTGTGTTTTGGGGAAATTTAGAGATTAAGCAAATAATTCTACCGATTGCACCATTTCTCCAAAGGAATTTCTTTTTAAAAAGTTAAAATAAGGATAACATGTTTAAGGTACGCTAGACAACATTGCAATGCTGCTGAGTGTATTGGAGAAGCGGGGTGGTGATTGATTTAAGACCAATTAGCTTTGATGAAATTGATAAGACCATTGGTGGAGGAGTCATGTGAGGAAACGGGATCCTTGTTGGCCAATTCCGGTTCAATAGCCTTTGCCAATTGTTTGCCAAGTTCAACACCCCATTGATCGAATGAGTTGATGTCCCAAACAATGCCTTGGGTAAAGATTTTATGTTCATACATAGCTGTGGGATAGATAAAGGGAGAAAAGAATTTTTATTAATCTTATGGTTTTTTTGTGGGTTTTGTGGTTTAACCTACCAATGAGAGCTCCCAGAATGAAAGGTGTCAGCTTCTTGACAACAATGGAGTTTGTGGGACGGTTGCCGGTAAACACTTTGTGGGGCAAGAGCTGTTCTAGTTTTTCTCCCTTAACGCCAGCCTTTTCCAATTCAGCCTTAGCTTGCTCCGATGTCTTGCCATATGCCAGAGCTTCAGTCTGGGCCAAGAAGTTGGCAAGCAAAATCTTGTGATGGACACCACCGGCAATTGGGTTGTGGGTGTTTGCTGGAGCAATGAAATCACATGGAATCAAACGGGTACCCTGATGAATAAGTTGATAGAAAGCATGTTGACCATTGGTTCCGGGTTCACCCCAAATAATTGGGCCAGTGTTGTAATCGACGACTTTAGAGCCAGTTTTGGTAACAAATTTACCATTACTCTCCATATCGCCTTGTTGGAAGTAGGCAGGGAAACGGTGCAGGTATTGGTCATATGGCAAAATGGCATGGGTTTCGGCATTGTAGAAGTTGGAGTACCATATTCCCAGCATGGCCAAGATGACAGGGGCCTATAAAAGATTATTTCAATTAAAAAAAAATTAAAACAAAAAAATTACAAAAAAAACTTACGTTTTGCTCAAATGGAGCGGTTTTGAAATGCTTGTCCATAAAATGTGCTCCTTCCAACAATTGTTCAAAATGCTCAAAGCCAATGGATAAACAAATTGATAAGCCAATGGCGGACCACAAGGAGTAACGTCCTCCAACCCAATCCCAGAAACCAAACATGTTCTTGCTATCAATGCCGAATTCAGTTACTTTCTCTTTGTTGGTGGACAAAGCAACAAAATGCTTAGCAACAGCTGAGGGCTAGAGCGAAAACAAGAATTTAACATAAATTATCATGCTTTTGCGTGTACATGTGTACGTAACCGCAAATTTCGAAGATATTGAAATGCAGACTTACATCTTTTGTTTGTTCCAATAACCAATTCTTGGCCGAGGTGGCATTTGTTATGGTCTCTTGTGTGGTAAATGTCTTGGAGGCAATGATAAACAGTGTGGTTTCATAGTTAACTTTCTTCAAAACCTCGGCCATGTGAGTGCCATCAATGTTGGAGACAAAATGGGAACGTAGACCCTTGCAATAGGGTTTCAAAGCTTCTGTGACCATAAGAGGACCCAAATCGCTGCCACCAATGCCAATGTTGACGACATCTGTGATTTGCTTTCCAGTGAAACCGCGCCAAACTCCGGAAATGACTTGATTGGTAAACTCCTTCATGTGCGTCAGTTCAGCACGAACATCGGGCATAACATCCTTTCCATCAACCAATATGGCCTCATCACCGCGATTGCGCAAAGCAATGTGCAATACAGCACGGTTTTCGGTGATGTTAATGGCCTGGCCAGACATCATGGCATCACGGGCCTCAGCAACGCGTCTCGCCTTGGCCAATTCCAAAAGAAGACTCCATACTTCTGGGGTTACACGATTTTTGGAGTAATCAAGTAAAATGTCACCATCATTGGGTGTACTGATGCGCAAGCTATAAAAAAGGTTTGGAAATAATCAACACGCCTTAACATTTTATTTTATCTCTAAATGAGAAATGTTCGAACAGATAGTAATATGGAGTGACAAAGGACCGACCGTTCGTGATTTAAAAGAAAGAAAAAAAACTGAAATTTCAAAATCCATTTCTTTTAAATGATTTGAAATACATTTTTTGCGTACCGTTTATTTTTTACATTTGATAATTATTAATTAATTTTTATGGTATCATGATGTCGGTCATTAAATTGATCGGTCATTAATGAATTCCAATTAATTAAATACCAAATTGGGAATTGGCAGCAATAGGGGCAGGGAGTGGCAATTCAAATTGGGAGTGGAATTTAAATTCTAAACAAATATCAAATTCATGGACCCGACTCCAATCGAAGTAAACAAAAAAAAATGTTTAATAAATAGCAGTAATATGGTACTGTGTACCATATTCGCCTTAGTTAATTATTAACGCATATGACGTCTGCCACCGAAGTCTAATAAATAAATGAAAACACCATAAGACAATGTTGCAGTCTCCGATATTCACCTAAAAAAATTAAATAGAAATGTTTGCATTTTTGCAAACCCCATCTGAGTGTGGGACTTTCACTTTTATCGAATGTTGATGGCCTTTTGAAATTGAATCTCATGAAGGTGCAATCAAGCAATGGTGTCATGTAATAGTTAGTAAAAGTTCTGTATAATAACCTTGATGTAACCTGGACTATGTTCGCATATTTAAACAAGGATTAACCATATGACAGAGATAATTTGAAAGTTCTAGCAATTAAAACTGTATGCATTGTAATATAGATAATGAAAATGAAACAGACAGACAGACAATGGTTACCTGAATTTTTTGAAGCGCTCAGCATCACTTTCGAATAGATTTTTTATGTTAATTTTTTCGCCATTCTCTTTGTAATAGTCGGCAATTTTTTTGTAAACCGCTTCCGTTGAGAGTAGAGGTAGTGGGCCAGCCATTTTAACAAGGGTTTTACAAAAAGAAATTGAATTCAAATGTGTTCTAGAAAAGTAAGTATAGCTTTTCCAAGCAAATGCCGACTGGATACGTGCTGCGGTTAGAATTTTGAACTTAACTCAACTCCAGCAAATGAATACAACGAATACAGAAAGTTTCAATGTCAAATGAAAAACAAAATTCACACAACATATGGGCGAAAGTAAAGGGGATACAGCAGAGTTGTATTTCGCGGCGGTAAACGTTACAGGAAATACAACTCGGCCTCTCACGGAATACAACTCTTATACGTACAAAGCACATACGTTTTTTAACGTTTTCTTGTTTTGAATTAAATAAGTATGAGTTATGAAAGCCAAAAAAATATTATATTTTGATATCAAATACAAATTTGAAATACTAATAGCCTTCAGAATGAAAAATCTCAGACATCCATTTGAAAAATAAAGAAAACTTTGAAGTTTCTGACAAGATAATACCATTGGCAGGTAAAAATATGTCCATGGTATAATAAAATAAAGGTAACCTCTTCTCAAATCAGACGATAAAGGTTTTAAATAGGTACTGTTACTTTTATTATCCATATGTATGCCAAAATTGCCTCCACCATAGTATGGAGGGTATATTAAGTTTGTCATTCCATTTGCAACACCTCGAAATATACATTTTAGACTCCACAAAGTATATATATTCTTTATCAGCATAAAATTCTATGTCGATTTAGCGATGTCCGTCCGTCTGTCCATCTGTGGACAGCTTCCGAACGAATTGAATTAGATTGGTAAAATTTTACTCAAATGTATATTATGTCTGCAGGACTTTTGGTATTGAAAATCGGCCATTTAGGTCCACGCTTTGTTATGGCCCCCATATAACGGTACCTCCCGATATTCGGTATTTTGATGGTTTTAGCAAAATTATTCACCGGAATTGTTTCAAATTTGGTATTTGAAATTCAGACAGAAAATTGTCTGTGCAGGTCCACGTCGTCGTATAGCCTCCATATAACGGTACCTCCCGATATTTTGATGATTTAGCAACATTATTCACCGAGTTTTTTGGCTTAAGCCGATTGTAATGGCTTATGAAAAAAATTATCTATGCAGGTCCATGTCGTCATATAGACGCTAATATAAAAGCTACATTCGGTATTTTAAGGATTTTAACAGAATTTTTAACGGATTTTATTTTTTTGAGAATTTCCAAATTGGAGTGGTGGAGAGTATTCAAAGTTCGGCCCGGCAGAATTTACTTGTTTCATTTCCTTTGATTACATTGTAACTATATTGAATTTTCTAAAAAAAATATAATACTTAATGGATATCTTTTTACCGCAAATTTAATTTTATATATTTTTACACAACAAACAAACAACACTTTTGCTTAATTATATTTTTCCGATGAAAATAGAAAAAATGGAAAATTTGACAATGGGGTCGTGTTTCCACTTTACTATTTTCGCTACTTTTCCCAGTTTGACAGGTAGAGGATCAAACCAGTAATTAATTATTTTTCGTAACTTTTGTGGATTTGATACGACACTGTTATAAAATGCAAACGATTAAGTCCAAACATCACAAAATGTTATTTCAGTAATAGATTATAAAGCATAGGCCCGTTCTTATATCTTACCTTTATAGTTCACTTTTGTTATACCTTACTTTAGGAAAAGTGAAGGATAAAGTTCACTTTATGGGACTTTCATTATTACAACCTTCCTTTAAAATAATTCCTTTTTTTTCAGAGATATGGCAATAAATTGCTCTCAATGATTACTTTTTTGTAGATGTAACTGGTAGTCATTGCATTTTTTTTCAAAGTGGCATCATTATTTTA